GCAGGACTCGATCCCGGGACTCCAGGATCATGACCTGAGCCGAAGGCAGTCGCTCAACCAACTGAGCCACCCAGGCGCCCCTTCACTAGTTCTTGAGATATCGACCTGGAGCAGGAAAGGAGTCCGTATATATGGTATTACAGTCCTTTGCATAAGCTAGTTGGAGGTGGCTTGGCTCATCAGTGAAGGAAGAACGAGCAGTTCTGAGAGGGCAGGTATCCTGGATCCTGTAGGGACAGCTCCCCCCTCCTTTACACCACCGCCTGGGGAAGCAGGGAAGAATCTGGGCTGGGAGTTATAAATTGGAGGTGGTGGCTGGCCTCAACTCGGGAGCAGCCCTCGTTCTAAAACCTGGGGCAGAGCTCATTAGATAACCAGTAACTACTTTTCCTCTCATCTCAAGGCTAGGCTCTCAAAAAGCAGCATTTTTCTACTATATATATATATATATATTTTTTTAACTGTAATTCACATCAAGGAATACATTTTCCATTATGACCCAGTAAATACACACTCAGTTGAAACAAAAGTTTCATGAAATATATAACCTATTTGTACCACACTTATATTTTCTATTCCATTTTTTAAAACTGCAGGTCCACTAATGGGCCTAGAGCCACAGTTAAAAAACCGTGGCTTCCGGCCCGCAGCCACAGCAGACTGTGTGTGTATTTCCAACACCCCACATGCTGCTGCCCCAGCAAAATGTGGCTTTCCTTCTGCTTGTAGTCATTCCACACCCATAGTAGTCCGCATTCTCCAGAGAAACCGAACCAATGGAATGTCTACGTAGAGAAAGCAGTGTCTTACAAAGAATGGGCTTGTGGGATTATGGAGGCTGACAGTTCCCAAGATTTTGCTCCCATGAGAGCAGAGGGTATAGTTCTAGTCTGAAGGCCAGGCCAGCAGGCATGAGACCCAGGACGAGCCAGTGTTTGAGTCCAAAGGCAGGCAGAATTCTCTTACTTGGGGAATGGTCAACCTTTTCTGTTCAGGCCTTCAGTGGATTGGATGTGGCCCACCCACCCCAGGGGCAATCTGCTTTACTCAGTCTACCATTTCAACTGTTAATCTCAGCCAGAAACGGACACACCCAGAGAAAAGTCTAACCAAACATCTGGGCACTCCACGGCCCCAGACAAGCTGACACCTAATTAGCCATCACAATACCCTACCCCTACCTCCCTAAATAAAGCACCAATCTTAGCTCTTAAAAGATCCAGTTTAATTTAGATTTTAGTATTGAAATCTAAGAACTGAAAAATATAATTTTAAGATCCCTGTGAATGCCTCTATGAAAAGTACAAGGTGTTTCAAAATGTAGGTCTGACCTCAAAACGTCGTACTGCATTCTCTCCTCAGCCAGGTCAGTTGGAGAAAGCACGCACAAAGTGATAGTAGTTAATCTTGTCTTCTCTGTGAGGGCACAGCCTGATCAACTGCGGGAGAGAGCAGAGAGCAGGTGAGACAGAGCTGCAGGGCCCACTTATTAATAACCATCCCCAGCCTTTGTAAACCAGGTCAGAGTTTAAATCAGCGGATTCTAAAATGCTCCTGTGAACTTGGCAGGTAGGTCAGACATAATCCCCATCTTCAGCTGAATGAAACTGAAGCTCAGAGGGAGTCAAGGGCCTGCGGGAGATTTCAGGACTCACATTTATAAGAACACTGTCATTTCCAGAGCACTTTTAATTATTTTTATATTCAAATACGAGCTTTGTCCACCCGGTCTGAATAGAGTAGAACTCTTAAAATAGCAAGTTGCTGTTATCACAGGATAATAGAAGAATCTAGTTCCGTCACTGCTCACTTGATCTTTGCCCAAAGGCAGAGAAGCCTTATGTCACTGCTCAAACCATGTCCCCTGAAGCTCCGCTGTGGGGGGAGTAGCCTGATCTGCTGAGGTTACCTTTACATGTGCAAATCATTCTTGCCACCCACACCTTCCCCACCCCACTGACTGCAATTCCTTTGTCAAGGTCACAAATAGCACAAATGACTTAAAAAAAATCAAAAGCTGGGCATGCTGTCCATCTGAGATTTGGGAACCTAAATGGGCATTTGCCCAAGTGAACACGTTCTTTTCTACCTGCCGTCTTCCCCTCCCTGCTGATGTTCCAATATCTGAAAAATCCTCTTCTCCAGCGCCACACGACAGCCTCCCCTAAATGAGTCTTCACTTCTGAACATCCCTTTTTGCTAAAAGATCTTTAAGAAGGTCTAAGCAGGCTTTTTATCAGGGAGAAGTCTCAGTAATAAGTCACAGTCATTGGCAACTGTGGGAGAAATTTTGGTCTGAGTTCCAGGGAAGCCCTGGCTAGAGGGATTTCTAATGAAACAAAGGCAAAAAACCCCCTCTGCAACTCACTCATGAAAATTCCCAGAGGACAGTGTCCATGTCCTTCCTCTGTGTGCAGCTGGCCCTGGGCGACCTATTCCTGACAGACACGGCTGCCCTGGGCGGTGGTCACGCCCTCTCCCATGCCCACTGTACTGCTGAGCTACCGTAAGCGCTGGCTGGGAGGGTGGCCAAAGGCTGCCCCCCATCCTACTCAATACCGGCACCTTTGAGTCTCCCCTCGGGCTGCCCCTCTGGGATCACGACTGCAGCCCTCCTTCGGCGGACATGGCTTATCTGCCACGCTGTTCAGTCTAGCCCATACCCACATAAAGACAGGCCCTACTGCACCCATGAGCAAAGAACCCCAACGCGACAATCAAGGGGAAACACCATAGAAATCAGGGCCGAATAGGAGATCTGATTCAAACATTTTAAATTTTACCGTTAAAGCCAAATACACCCACAACTGCCTCTGGGAGAGAACAAACGGGTGTTCACAGCCTCTGCAATCAACCCAGAAGGGTGACTCCTACTGACCTCCTTAATCAAGGAATCATCAATTGGCAGGTTGAGAGAGTCACAGATTTTAAAGAACATCTCTTTGTCAACATATCCTGAAGCTTCCTTGTCATAAATTTGAAAGGCTTCGCGAATGTTGTCTTTGCACGGATGATCTTTCAGTTGCTTCTGGATTGTGTCTATTAATGCCTCCAGTTCTTGCACACCTGGATCCTCTTTAGTTTGCTTGCTGTAGAGAAAGGAAGGAAATGCCTGGGCATCTTATTTATCCTTGACCAGTCTTAGCTCAGTGACCAAAGTTCTCCTTTGGTGAAGTTGGGGCAGCTTCAAACAAACGGCTCTGGCATGGAGCTGACCAATAACTGGACACCTGCCCCGGAGGTTGGCTGATGATGGCTGGGGAGCCCGGTCAGGGGGGTTTGAGCTGACGCTCAGCCTCCCCGGCTGCCACCTGTTAAATCTCTGCACCACAAAGAGCCATATCTACCGCCACCACCTCCCCAAGCTCGGTGTTTGTGTGAGTCACCCACTGCTGCTGAATGCTGTTGCATCATCTGAAGATGAATGAGTTTTTAAAAAGTTTCACACATCATTATGTATGGTGACTAACATAAGATAATAAAATTTAAAAAAAAAGTTACATTCACACAGTCAGAAATCTTGTACTTTTAACATGTTCTCTCTGGATCACTCCAAATTTTATGAAAGATGGTGGATTGAGAAGGTGAGGCTTAGCATTTACTGAAATGAAGAGAGATGAGTAACCCACAGCACTAGAAAGAGGGAGAACTCAGAAAGCACTCCTCCCTTATTCAACGATGAAAAAACAGACTCGAAGACCTTAGAGAGACTTATCCCAGATGTCCTAGCAGAGGCAAGACCAGAACGGACATCGCACTCAGGTTCTGACGTGTTCTTTCAAGTACATCCAGCCACCCCTCACCGAGCCCTCTCCCTCCACACCATCACAATATCGGTCCCCCGTGGCTTTCCTGTTCCTATTTCCTCCTGCATATAATATTCGAAAGGTTCACTCTTCCAAATGGCCTCTATTAACTTAATTCCCTTTTGACCCACTGGCAATTCTTGCTGGGGAAGGTACAAAGTGCTAGAACCTTTCAGGAACAATTTGGAAAACATGAAGCAAAAGCCCAGCAAAGAATTTCAAGTAATTTATCCTAAGGAAATAATCATGAGTTGTATACAAAGCTACAATCTAATAAAGCTGTTTTGAGACAGCTAAAGGTCTAAAAAAATCATCCCCAAATCAGGAATTGGTTAAACAATATCCAAAAACGATGAGGCAATATAATAATAATGCAGCATGGACAATGTTGCAGCTAGAGTAGACAGATCTGTTAGTGAGAAAAATCAAGGTGTAAAAGTGCATACAGAAGGCTACATTTTGCATAAAAGTTGTGAGGGGAATAAAAACATTTAAATTGCTTATATTGTGCAAAGAAACTCTGGGAAGGTATTTTAAAACCAATGAAACAGGTAGTTACCTATGGGGAATGGAGGGTAACAAGCAGGTATGTGTATATATAAATAAAACTCATGTGAATGTAATATGCACTCAAAAAATTATCAATGCTCCATAAAACATTTCATATCAGAAATGTTCATGATACACTATCAAGTGCAAAGAGCTAGTTAAATTTATTACAGGATTTTTCTATTTTCTAAATTTTTACTCCCTGAATGTTATTTATTCTGGGCATGTATTACCTTTATAGTAAGACAAAAACAATATATATTCTGATAAAAATCTCTAGTATCTAAATGCTGTCTGGCATTATTTATTATTGAAGCAGGATATGTGTATCTGATGGGTATACCTCCAATCATACATACTAAATTATGCATAACTGCCAGTAAGCTATTTTAGTGGCAGAAAGCAATCAAACCTCAATCTTGCATATCTTCCCAGGAGTTAGTGCCATGGAGCATATATATTTAAAATGTGATCATCCAGTCATTTTGGGAAAGAGAAGATAACTCTCCCTTCCGTGAAGGGGCCAGATGTTCATACTGCTTCATACAATATGGAAAATGCCCATGCCATCTGCTGTCTTTGAGTACGATGGAGTAAACTGAAACAGAGCTTGCAACAGGTGGTACTGTTTAAGACAGAGCTGGTGAAAGTTACAGCCCCTACTTAATTGAGGGGGTGTAAACCAAGACCCATTTTCTAGGAAAGCTGCAAGACCCACATGTTAACAAAGGAACACAAGGGCTCAATGATTATCCTTAACGGGACTGCCAACTGAGAGAGATGGCTGGGTTCCCAACACGCAAGGTGTAGACTCTGTGCCAACCCCTCCAATGCCCTTCTTTTACTTTCCATAAAAGCAAACATGAGTTTTATAGGGTGATTGAACTCCCATAGGTAAGAAAGACATCATGGTTTTCATTCTGCTCTTAGAATATTTTCCTAGGAGCAACCTGGCAAAACCCTCTACTTAGCAAGAGCTAAATGGAATTCACATATTTTCTTCAACAGCAAAGAGACTTCAATCTTGTTCTTTCTCATATTTTGCGGGGGTGGGTAGCGGGCAACTCTTTGATGTGTTAGAACTTTAAAGTGTGGCCATTTCCATTGCAAAGATTCAGTGTCAACCCCTTGGCCTGACCTTAGCTCTTGATCCATGATCCAAGGTCTCCCCTTGGTCCCAGTGAAGGTAGACCCACTCCCAGGACAGGCAGTCCCTTGCTCAGAGAGCTTCAGGTAGTCAGGAAGCTGAGTAACAACATTCTCGATTTCTTGCTGCTTTTCTCTGTTGAGACAGAAGAAATTATAGTAAAGACTATGAGCTCCGAGTCTGACTGGTTCAAAAGCTGTTTTACCACTGAAAGGCTACATGATATTGAGTAGATTAGCTAATTGCTCTGTGCTTCAGTTTCATTATCTGTCATATGGGAGCTTTGAAAGGAAGTTACCTCATAAAGATTGTGGTGAGAATTACATGAACTATTACATATAAAGCACTTAGTACCTAACATAGACACACGCAAATGTCAGCTTTGAACATAGTTCTTTTGACAGTCCTAGGAGAAGTATTCTCTCATCTAACAACTATTTATTGAACATGTATGGCCCAATTCTAGAAGGAACCTATCTCTAATAAGGATCCCTGATCTCCAGAAGGAAATTAAGACATGGACTTTAAAATTACTCAAAGAAGGGAGAAAATTACCATTACCATGCAGAGAAAGTACAAAGCCTGAGAGGATCAGGAAGGGCTGAACTAGGAGGTGGCATTTGACCTAGGCCTTGGAGGATGTGAGGGCTTGGACCTGAAGAATGAAACAAAGGAACTGCAGACTGGGAACAGCCTGAGAAAAGGCATGAAGAAAGGAATGCTGGAGCTTAGTATAATAAACCTGTTTGGGGTGCAGAGTATGTGGAAAGGTAAACTGGAACTCTAAGTTAGATGGTCATTTGGAGACACACTATGGAGGTTCTTAGATACCAGACTAAGAACTTCAGAGTTTTGTTTTTAAGTGATGGAAATCTCTTAATAATAAATATGATGAAGAAATCAAAAAAAGGTCAAAAGGGAAACCAAAAAATATCTTGAAACAAATGAAAACGTAAATACGACATACTAAAATATGGAATGCAGCAAAAGCAGTTCTAAGAGGGTAGTTTATCACAATAAATGTTTACATTAAGAAAAAAAGGATCTTGTGGTGCCTGGGTGGCTCAGTCAGTTAAGCGTCCACCTCTTGATTTCGGCTCAGGGTTGTGAGATCGAGACCTGCATTTGGGTTCTGCGCTGGATGTGAAGCATGCTTAAGATTCTCTTTTTCCCCCTCTCCCTCTGCTCCCCATCTCCCACTCATGAAGGAAAAAAAAAAAAAAAATCAAATAAACACCCTAACTTTATACTTCAAGGAACTAGAAAAAGAAAAAACTAAGCAAAAAGTTAGCTTCTGGAAGGAAATGATAAAAATCAGAGCAGAGTAATGATAGAGAAGGTCCATGAAACTAAGAGCTGGTTTTGTGAAAAGATAAACAAAATTGACAAACTTTTAGCTACAGTGAGAAAAAAAGACAAAATCAGAAATGAAAGGCGATATTACAACTGATATCACAGAAATACAAAGAATCATGAGAGATCATTATGAACAATTATACATCAACAAATTGGATTACCTGGAAGAAATGAATAAATTCCTAGAAACAAAACCTACTAAGACTGAATCATTGAGCTAGAAAATCTGAGCAGACCAGTAACAAGTAAGGAGGTTGAAATGGTAATAAAAAAGAAAAGCCCAGGACCAGATGGTTTCACTGATGAATGCTACCTAGCATTTAAACAAAAGTTTATACCAATCCTTCTCAAACTCTTCCAAAAAAACTAAAGAGAAAGCAACACTCCCAAACTCATCTTATGAGGCCAGCTTTACCCGGATACCAAAGCCAGACAAGGACACTACAAGAAACTTAAACACCAATATCTTTCATGAACATAGATGCAAAAATCTTCAACAAAACACTAGCAAACGAAATTCAACAGCACGTTAGAAGGATCATATGCCATGATCAAATTATATTTATCCTTTGTATGCAACGATGGTCCAACATACACAAAAATCAATAAATGTGATATATCACATTAACAGAATGAAGGATAAAAATCATATGATCATCTCAATAAAGAAAAAGCATCTGACAAAATTCAATGTACTTTCATGATAAAAACCCTCAACAAATTAGGTATAGAAGAAATGTACCTCAACATTATAACAGTCACATATGACAAACCCACAAGCTAACATCATACCCAATAGTGAATAAGACAAGGATGCCCAGTCTTGCCGCTTGTATTCAACACAGACCTGGCCAGAGCAATTAGGCAAGAAAAAGAAACAAAAGGCATCCAAATACAAAAGGAATAAGTAAAATTATCTCTGTTCACAGATGACATGTACTATGTACAGAAAACCTTAAAAACTCCACCAAAAAAATGTTAGAACTAATCAACAAGTTCAGTTAAGTTGCAGGAAACAATAATCAGTTGTGTTTCTATACATTAACAATGAACTATCTAAAAGAAAAAAATATAAATTCCACTTATAATAGCATCAAAAGCAATAAAATACTTAGGAATAAATTTAAGGACCTGAAAGACAGGTACACTGAAAACAAAGACACTGAAATAAATTAAGGCACAACCAAATGGAAAAATATCTTGTGTCCTTGGATTGGAAGAATTAATAACTGTTTAAATGTCCACACTATCCAAAGTGATGTACAAATTCAATGCAATCCTTATCAAAATTCCAATGGCATGTTTCACAGAAATAGAAAAAAACAATCCTAAAATTTGCATGGAACCACAAAAACCCCCAATAGCCAAAGCAGTCTTGAGAAAGAAGAACAAAGCTGGAGGCGTCACACTTCCTGATTTCAAACTATCATTACAAAGCTACCGTAATCAAAACTACGTGGTACTGGCATAAAAAGAGACACATAAGCCAATGGAACAGAATAGAGCCCAGAAATAAGCTCATGCATATATGGTCAACTGTCTTTGACAAGGGTGCCAAGAATACACAATGGGGAAAGGACAGTCTCTTCAATAAATGGTGCTGGGAAAACTGGGTATCCAGGCAAAAGAAAGAAACTGGATCCCTATTTTATAGAACTCACAAAAATTAACTCAAAATGATTGAAGACTTAAACACAAGACCTGGGACTGTGGAACTTCTAGAATTAAACAAAGGAAAAAAAGCTCCTTGACATTAGTCTTGGCAGTGATTTTTTTTGGACACCAAAAATACAGTCAACAGACTTAAACAAGTGCAACTACATCAAACCAAAAAAGTTTCTGCACAGCAAAAGAAATAATCAAAATGAAAAGGCAACTCATGAAATGGGAGAAACTATTTACGAACGGTCTCAGTCTGTTCGGGCTGCTATAACAAAATACCAGAGACTGGGTAGCTTATTAACAATAGAAATTTATTTTTCAAACTTATGGAGGCTAAAAGTCCAAGATCAGGGCACCACAGATTCCACATGGTGGCTGGTGAAGGCTCTTTTTGGTTCATAGCCAGTATCTTCTCACTGTGTCCTTACATGATAGAAGGGGGCTAGCAAGTTCTCTGGGGCCTTTTTTTTTTTTTTTTAATAAAAGCACTAACCCCATTCATAGGGTTCTCATGACCTAATCACCTTCCAAAGGCCCTTCCTCTTAATACCATCACATGACCTCTTAATATGGATCAGGATATCAACTTATAAATTCTGGGGGGACACAAACATTCAAACCATAGCACAAACCATATATCTGATAAGGGGTTAATACCTAAAATATGTAAGGAACTCCTACAACTCAATAGCAAAAAAATAAACAATCCAATTAAAACATGGGCAAACAACCTGAGAAGACATTTTTCTAAAAAGGATGTACAAATGCCAGTGTGGGGGGGAGCGCCTGGGTGGCTCAGTCGGTTAAGCGTCTGCCTTCGGCTCAGGTCACGATCCCAGGGTCCTGGGATCGAGCCCCACGTCGGGCTCCCTGCTCAGCAGAGAGGCTGCTTCTCCCTTTCCCTCTGCCTGCGGCTCTGACTACTTGTGCTCTCTCTCTGTCAAATAAATAAATAAAAAATATCTTAAAAAAAAAAAAAATGCCAGTGGGTACATGAAAAGATGCTCAACATCACTAATCATGAGGGAAATGCAAATCAAAACCAAAATGAGATATCACACCTGTCAGGATGGTTATCATCAAAAAGACAAGAGATAACAACTTGGGGAGGATGTGGAGAAAAGGGAACTCTTGTACACTCCCACTGTAGGTAGGAATATAAATTAGTATAGCCATTATGGAAAACAGTTATGGAATATCCTCAAAAAATTAAAAATAGAACTATCATAGTATCTAACAATCCCACTTCTGGATATATATCTGAGGGAAATGAAATCAGGATCTCAAAGAGACATCTGCCCTCCCATACTCACTGCAGCATTATTCACAATAGCCAAGAAATAAAAACAATCTAAATGTCCATAGATGGTTGGAGTTTAAAAATGTGACACATATATAAAAAACATGGCACAATGGAATGTTACTCGGCCAGAAAAAAGAAGGAAATCCTGCCATTTGTGATAACATGGATGAACCTGAAAGATACTGTGCTTAGTGAAATAACCCAGAGAAAGACTAATACTACATAATCTCAATTATATGTGGAATCTAAAAAAAGTTGAACTCCAGGGGCTGGGGGAAGGGAGTGATGTTGGTCAAGAGTACAAACATTCAGTAACAAGATGAGTAAGTTCTGGAGGTCTGATGTACAGCATTGGGGCTGTAGTTATAGTTATACCGTACTGTATACGTGATATTTGCAAAGAGATCCAAAGCATTCCCACCACACACACACACACACACACACACACACATAAATGGTAGCCATGTGAGGTGATGGATGTGTTAATTAACTTGATCGTGATAGTCATTCACAATGTATATCAAACCAACATATTGTAGATTTTAACTAGATACAATTAGACCTCAACAAAATTGAGGGGAAAATAGTCGTATGATGAATTTGGAGCCAAGTTCCAGGATGACTGGTCTGATAACTGTACGTGAAGTGGAGTAAGGGAAAGAGCGGACATGGGAGCATACATCAGGAGGTATCGCGGACGCTGGGGTAAGCAGGGATGGAAGTATGGCAGATGCTGGTAGTTGCTCTCCTCTTCCTACCAGAGCCCTTATTTTGTTTGGAGCAGCAGCTAGGAGTGGCTGAGTGACACAGCCCA